TTCAAGTAAATTATTTTTCTTTTTTTGTTTCCAATTCAAAATTTTCTTTTTGCTTTTTTTTCAGCAAACAATGGATTCAATAACTGAACTTAAACAACGTTTACAAACACAACAAATTGAACGTGAAACATTAATTGTTGATAATAAAGATAATTTTCAACGTAAAGCACAAATTGAACTTGAATTACAAGATTTACAAGGTGAAACTGAACAACGCGATACGAAACGTGAAGAACTTAAAAAAGAACTTATTAAATATGATAAATTATTAACTGAAAGTGAACAACAATTAGCTAAAATTCTTCCAAATTATGATTTAATACGACGTGAAGAAGAACAAAAAACAGCTCAGTAAGATTTTTGTAAGAAAAAAAAAAATCTATTATATTCTTTAGACGTGATCTTGCTGAAGAAAAACGTAAAGAATTATTTGCTAAACGTGGTCGTGGAAATCAATTTACATCAAAAGAAGATCGTGATAAATGGATTCGTCTTGAACTTAAATCATTAAATAAAGCTATTCATGATAAACGTGAACAAGTATATTTTGAATTAATTTTTGATTTATCAAAAAATCAATGAATTATATATGAATATTTAGATGCAACGTTTAAAAAAAGATTTAGAAGATGAAACAAATAAATCACGTGAAATTGAAGAACAACTTCGACAAATTGTTGATAATGGTAATGAACAACGTTCACATATGGATAATGTTAATACACGTGTACGAGATCTTCGACAAAAAAAAAGTGATATTGCTGCACAAAAAACGTACGTAAACAAGATAAAATTTACTTTTTGTTTTTTTGGAAAAATTGAAATGAAAATTTTTTTCAAATTCGAAACACATGAACGGTTTACCAGAGGTTATCACGGTCAAAAAAAAAACACGAAGGATATCTTTGTTTGAATAAAGACATTAGGTTTAATATAAATATGAAAATACAAATTTTTGAAATTACGAAAAGATACAGTTAAGAATATCCACACCCAAATATATCTAGTTTCTGAAATGAATTGAAATAAGTTAATATATTTTTATTGTTTTAATAGTGAATTAGCACGTAAAGAAACTCATTTACATATGCAATTAAGTCAAACTCGTGATGAATTACGAAAATGTCAAGATACACTTCGATCTATTATGAATAAAGTAAAATTTCAAATACAAAAGAAAAAAAATTTTTTTTGTTTTCTTTTCTCTAAATCAATTCTTTTCTCAAGGGTGCTACATCAGGTGCTGACGGCTTACAAAGACTTCTTCGTCAATTTGCTGATGAAAATCGTAATCAAGATATAATTAAATCATATCATGGAACATTAATTGAAAATATTGAATGTGATCCAGCTTTTTATACAGCTGTTGAAGTTATTGCTGGTAATCGGTAAGTTTCACAAAAAAAAAAATTCTATTCAAAAAAACAGGAAATTTTTTTTTCTCCTACTACTCTTTATAGTCTTAATTATCATATTGTCGATACAGATGTTATTGCAACACGTTTAGTTAAAGAATTTAATAGTGCTCGTCAACGTGGTGAAATTCATTTTTTACCATTAAGTGTATTAGATGTTCACAATAGTACATTATCACATATAAATGGTGCATCACCATTAATTGATCAACTTCAATGGACACCTAAAGTTGATAAAGCTGTTCGACATGTATTTAATCGTATTATGCTTTGTGAAGATTTTAATTCAGCTACACGTACAGCTCGACAATATGATGTTGATTGTGTTACATTAGATGGTAAAAATATAATTGAATTATATATATATATATTTAAAATATTTTTATTTTTATTTAGGTGATCAAGTTCAACGTAAAGGTGCATTAACAGGTGGTTATATTGATAAGAAAATTTCACGTTTAGAATTACAACGTTCAATAAAACAATTACGTATAACATTAAATAAATATGAAGAAGAATATGAAAAACTTCGACAAGAAATAACACATATTGATAATGAACATAATAATATCATGACAGAATTACAACGTGAAGATATGAAATCAAAAAAAAATTGGTAATATATCATTGAGAATTTTATATTCAAAAAAAAAAAAAAACTAAATTTCTTCAATTTCAAGGGATAATTATGAACAAATGAAATCGGATGCTAAACATCTTCAATCAGAATTAGATCGTATGATTGCTCATCGACCAACAAAAGTAAATTGATTGTATTTCATTATAAATAATTAATAGAAACTGATTGATTGAAAATTTATTTTATTTTCAATTTTAAAGGAACGACAATTAAATGCTCTTAATGCAACAATTGAACAATTTTGTGCTAAAGAAGAATCATTACAATCAGAACTTGGTAGTGATCTTATTTCACAATTAACTATTGATGAACAAGTTACTGTTGATAAACTTAATAATTCTATTGAACGAACAACAAAAGAATTAAAAGAAATTATTAAAAAACGTGTTGAAGTAAAAAAATAAATTTAATTATTAGAAACATTTTTTAAAAAAATGTTTGTTTTTTTTTCTTAGCTTGAAGGTACTAAAACAAGACTTGAACATCAAATTTCTAATAATTATCGAAAAAATCGTGATCGTATTAGCACGGTAAGAAAATTTTTGCTAAAGGTAAAATATTTTCATTTATTGTATTGTTCAGGATCTTGAACGAATACATGTTGAAAATGTTCGTAGTGTTATTGAAGAACTCGAACGTGAATATACTATTTTATCTGATAAACTTAATGAACATGAAAAACAAACTGATGGTATATTAAATATTCGTGTAATTTTATTAATTTCATTTTTCTTTTTGTCTTCTAGCTATTGATCGAATAATTAATAATTTAGATCGAGAACTTAAAAGTAAACAAAAAGAACTTGAACAATTAAAGGTTAGATTAATAAGAAAAAAAAAGAAGAGCATTTTATTAAATACTTCTTTTTTTAGAATTCGGATAAAGATATTGATGAACGTATTAATGAAGAAAAACGTAATACAGATAAATATGAAGTTAAATTACGTAATGCACAAAATAAGGTTAGAAAATTTTTATTTGTTATCAAAGTTAGAAGGTGTTGGTAAGACTACAAAAAATCCTAAAAGAATTCGTTCTCTGAAGCCAAGTTACTGAATGTTCAGCCTAACTCAGCTCCCACAGCGGATTACACAATCAACGTTATATACTCAAATACAGAGCTGTGGATCTCTCCAGACCCGGATCCGGACCTAAAGTTTCATTTATTTTGTCGAGTTCGAGTCCAACCTTGTATCTTTTGTTGAGCCTGGGTACATGTTTTTGTGATCCGCTGGTCCCAGATGAGAAATACAGTAACAAGATATAACTGTTCATTGAGCTTTTTCTGAGAGTAATGAATAAATAGTTGAAACCTTGATTCTTCACTTGTTTATGTACACGAGAGGATGCTAGGAGGTATTGATGGAAAAAATCTCCGGCCTGGACCCGCAGTTCCGTATATCCAAAGTAGATCAGAGTTACTACAATCAATGATATGTCCTGATCTTTTTTTTACTTGTTTACCGCAGCGAGGGCTGAGAAATATAAAATTATTCTCTTGCAAAATGTCAGTGTGTTTTTTTTTAATATTTTTAGCTTGATGAAAGTACAAAACGTCAAAATGATATTGGAGTTCCGCCTGATGGACTTGAAAAATATAAAGATATACCAACTAAACAAGTAAGTAATTTTTGTTCATTATTTCAAATGAATAATCATTCGAGTATTGAAAATTATTAACAAATTAGATTAAGTCGTAGGTGTTGTCTGAACTACTTGTTTTTTTTTAACAATATTATTTATAAAATTATTATAATTTATTTTATTTAGCTTCAACGTGATCTTGATCGTGCAATAGTTGAATTAAAAAAATATGCACATGTTAATAAAAAAGCACTTGATCAATTTCTTCAATTTAGTGATGAACGTGATAAATTAACAAATCGTAAAGCTGAAATTGATGAAGCACATCGAGTATGTTATTGTTGTTTTTATTTTATTTTTAACATCTCAAAAATAAAATTTTTTTTTTTTTTATTATAGCATATTGTTGATTTAATTGAAAGTCTTGATAATAAACGTTTTGAAACAATACAATTTACTTTCAAACAAGTTTCATTATATTTTACTGAAGTATTTAAACGACTTGTACCTGAAGGTACAGCTCATTTAGTTATAAAAAAAGGCGATAATGAGGTTTGTTTAAGTTTTTAAATATAAGAAATTTTTGTTTATATATTTTTTCTTTTTGTTTATTTGTAAATAGGATTATGATAGTGAACAAGTTTCATCACAAAGTTCTGGACAACAAATGTCTGTTGATGAATTCACAGGTGTTGGTATAAAAGTATCATTTAATGGTCGTACAAATGAAATGCGTGATATGCAACAATTATCTGGTGGACAAAAATCACTTGTTGCATTAGCATTAATTTTTTCCATACAAAAATGTGATCCAGCACCATTTTATTTATTTGATGAAATTGATCAAGCACTTGATCCACAATATCGACACGCTGTTGCAGGTTGATTGATGTTTTTTTTTTCTTTGTATTGATGATTTTTTATTTTTATTTTATTGTTTTGTATAGAGTTGATTAATGAATTAAGTCAAAGAGCTCAATTTATTATAACAACATTTGGTCCAGATTTACTTAAATATGGTGATAAATTTTATGGTATTACATATCGTAATAAAGTTAGTCAAATACGATCGGTTACACGAGAAGAAGCATTAGAATTTGTTGAAGATAATGATGCACAAAATCAAGCTGCACAAGCAGCAGCAGCGGCAGCAACAGTCGCTCAAAATTAAATATATAAATATCTCGATGTGTTGTTGTTGTTTTTTTTTTTGTTTGTTTGTTTGTTGTTATTATTATTGTATTCGCTAGTTGAGTTTGTTTGTAAATGATGTAAATGTATGATAAGAAACAATAGATGTTGTGTACGATGTAAAAATTGATTGAAATAGAAAATTAATATCTATATTTAATATCTTCAGATGTTAGGTACACTTTTTCGATATGTACAAAAATGTCCGCAAATAGTATTTATACCTGTGCGGACAAGTGTTTATACAAATGGTTAGTTGTATAATTGAAAAAAATGATTTTATTTTGTCTTATTTTTCTATTTAGTCACAGCACAAGATCTATGGAAAACAATAACATCTGTAAGTAATGCTGGTGCTAAACGAGGTCGTGCTAAACGACGTGGTGCAACGAAATTTAAAGATCTAAATATTGGTCAAAGAATTGGTCAAGGTAATTAAATATATTTATTATTTTTCCTATCTAATATCTATACAACTAAATAGGCAAAGCAAATATGCAATGGCCTGGTCTAAATGCGCCAGTTGTTCAAGGTCGTGATATTGTCCCTATTGTGGAAAAACCGTCTGATCCAATGTATCAACAACGCTTACTTGACGTACGTAATCGTCTTGATCGTTTTCGTCGTTTATCAATACCACCAAATGAACGTGGTTTTACAGGTGGTAGTCCAGCTGGTAAAAGTCTTGGTCAACCAGATCCAATTAATGAAAGTATATATTTTGATATTCAAAATCTAATATTTCATAATTCATATATATTTGATTTAGTAACTTTTGAGGATTTTGATTCTCGTCTTGTTGAATTTAAAACTTTACAACGTACTATTGGAAAAATTGGACGAAAAAAATTTACATCAGCTTTTGTTGCTGTTGGAAATGGAAAAGGTCTTGTTGGTAAGAAAAATCTCTTTTTATCTTTCATCGTTCTAAATTCAAATAAAAAAAAAATTTTCTTTTAAGGTTACGGTAAAGCATTAACACAAGATGCTCAACATTCTTTACGAAAAGCTAAATTAACTGCTTCAAGACAATTACTTTATATACCAATTTGTGATGGACATACAATTTTTCATGATTTTTATGAACCATATTTTTTTACTAAAATTCGTTGTGAAAAACGACCACCTGGTTATGGACTTCGATGTCATCGTATTATAGCATTACTTTGTAAATTAATTGGTATTAAAGATATGTATGCAAAAATTGATGGTGCAATTAATCCACAAAATATAACAAAAGCGTTTATACGTGGTTTATTGAAACAAGTAAAAAGACAAAACTTATTTTTTTGAAAAAGCTGACTATCCGCCATCTGAAAAATCATTTATACTTTTTTGTAGAGCGAATTACGACGCATCGGATAGTATATAGGAAACTACTCTTTTCATCCTTTGAGAAGTCATGTATCAGTTAAGAGACACTATAGCTGTAGTTGATATGGTCAAATATTAGGAGTAAATATATATCATCTTCAATCGTATATTTCTATCAATACTCACAATAACTTTTTTTATCGTATGCAAAACCTTAACATTTTTATTAGCCTGTGTAATTTTTAGCTTTTATTATAAGTATATCAATTGATTGTCCTCTAAATTGATGTGCATCATAGTCAAATGGATGAATCAATGCCTAAAGAAAGATTAATTTTTCGACTTCTAAAGGCAGAAAAGTGTATGTGTTACTATAAATACTTTTTGAGTGAGAATCTTTCTATCTATTATTAATAAGTTTATCATATCCTCCAAGGTCGAACTCATCCCATCGGATCCGATTGAGATTCGTCAGAATCCTTGGTATTGGATTCCGACAGGAAGTTGTCGGATGTCGGAAGATGTTGGATTTTTAGGGTTCCGACAAGATCCTGGCCACTTCCGACAAATTCCGGCGAATTCCCATCAGATCTGATAAAATCCGATAATTTTTCCGATAGAATCCGACTGTCGGATTGTTCGTCCTGGGCTATCATTTCACATATATAAGTCTTTCAAAAATGGCAAAAAAAAAAGTTTTCGCTGTCGTATCCTGGAGCGGGGTATAGGAATGGACTGTTATAAAGATTAGTTTTTATTTTATTTTGTTCGTTAAGAATTTGGATTCTGAGTAGCTAAATATGTTAGAGTACTAAGCTGTATTAGATGCAATATATGTTCAGTCTCTTATGAGAACTAAACATTTTGAGTGTTCCGACACTCTTCCAGGAGTCCGAAAACGAAAAAAATTTGTTGCCATCTTCGATAGATCTATATATGTCAAACGATAGAGCATGATGAGTTTATCTCATTCTCAGTCGAAGAATTTAAAGCATTATAAAAGCCAAAAATTACGCAAACGAGTAAAAAATATCATCCACTATTGCTATAATATCCCCTAAATGGTGTATATAACTTCTCAAAACATAAGAACTTGATAAAAAAAAGACCATACGATGTGCCACAAATTGCTCTACAAAAAAGGTATAGATAGTTTTTCAAATGCAGGATATTTATCTTATCCGACAGCGAACCATTATATTTTTTGTTATTATTATTATTATTATTTAGAAAACTTATCAAGATTGGGCAAATGCAAAACAATTACATTTAGTTGAATATCGTCCTGAAAATGATTATTATCCACGTTTATTAGCAAGTCCAAATAATGATCGACCAACAAGAACATCATTAGAAATTGATCCTGATGAAGATTTAGATTTTGAACGTCTTTGTTTTGAAGGACGAACTGTAGATAAAGGACAAACAAGTGAACAATATGAACCATGGTATGCAACAAAAGAAAAAACACGTTATGGATGGTATAAATATTTAAGAAGACGACATTGGGTTTGTTTTTTAAGAAAGATTTTTTTGTTTGATAAATTTTCTTTTTTTATTTAGGAAACTGTACAAGAAAAAGCTACTGTTGAACGATTAGCTCGTATGGATGAAAAACGTTATGATTCATATTATCGTTATCCAGATCAATATCATACAGATGTATTAAAACAACTTAAACAACGTTCACCACATGTTTGGTATCCTCGAGTGTGATTTTGTTTTTGTGTTAATTAAAATAAAAAAAAATAAATAAAGAAATTTTCTTTTTTGATGTAGACAAAATTAATTTTGATTTTTTGATGGTACTAGATCTTAATAAAAAGTTTGAAGATGAAATCGAAAAATATCAACAAACACAAAATAGTATTCTCATAAAGAGAAAATAAACTTAGATTTAATCATACAATGATACATAACTTATTCATTTATACTTGTTCGATATACATTTCAGTGAAAAATTAGTAAAATAAATTCTCTTCTAAATATCTGAGATATTTACTACAAAAGAGATTCAATTTTGTCTAATCTATCTCAATCAATTAAAATGAAGAAAATCTAAGTCTTAATATATATTTTCAGCTAACTAAAGCCATAAGATAATTTTCTTTGTAAAATAAACTAGAATTTAATCGTTGTGTCTATAAAAAAAACCTAAAACAAATTATTATTAGATTTAAAAAAAACAATTAACATCATTAATGAACAATATAGAAATAAAAATTAGAAATGTATCGTGAAATTATTTTGAAATTTCAACAACAAATAAATAAACCAATAAACTATTTCTTCCGTGGGGTTTTTTTTTATGACTGTTCAAATAAACAATGCTTGGAAATTTTTTCGCGCCCTCATTATTATTGTGTTTAGTATTTTTTTTATTTTGTTGCCTTGAATCGTCTTATTCATCAATAGGTATGTCATAATGATAAGCACTTATACACCAAAAAAGAAAAATCGAGCAAAAAAGGCCTTTTCTTCCTTTAAACAAATATTACGACCCCTTTTGTCCGTCTAGAGAGCAAATTTCACCATCCACACATTTCTTTTTCTTCCTACTCGCATCACATGATGTCGACGAGGACATTCTTTTTATTCTTCTCTCTTGTCGTCATTTGCGAAGAGAAAAAAACCAACCATCGAAAGAATAATAGACGAGCATTGCTTGCAGTACGCAGCAAAATTGACTAAGAACGAAAAAAAAAAAAATACCCAGAAAAAAAAAATGCCAACATAACCCTATAAAATAAGCTGCACTTTCTTATTTTCATCAGTTACATCCTCTTTTCATACAAGACAAATATCTACAAAAGTAAGATTTTCTTCACCATTAAATAATATAAAAACGAATCATTTTCTAGAACATCAAATATGCAAATTTTCGTCAAAACACTCACAGGCAAAACTATTACACTCGAAGTATGTTTTTTATAATTCTAGAATTATATATATCTATCTTGATTTATTCTCTTCAGGTCGAACCTTCGGATACAATTGAAAATGTAAAAGCAAAAATTCAAGACAAGGAAGGTATTCCACCAGATCAACAACGATTGATTTTTGCTGGTAAACAATTGGAAGATGGTCGAACATTATCCGACTACAATATTCAAAAAGAATCAACACTTCATTTGGTTCTCCGTCTTCGTGGTGGTATGCAAATTTTCGTTAAAACATTAACAGGCAAAACAATCACACTTGAAGTCGAACCATCTGATACAATTGAAAACGTCAAGGCTAAAATTCAAGACAAGGAAGGCATTCCACCAGATCAACAACGTTTGATCTTTGCCGGTAAACAATTGGAAGATGGTCGTACATTATCCGATTACAATATTCAAAAAGAATCAACACTTCATTTGGTTCTTCGTCTTCGTGGTGGTATGCAAATCTTCGTCAAGACTCTTACTGGCAAAACAATTACACTCGAAGTTGAACCATCAGATACAATTGAAAATGTTAAAGCAAAAATTCAAGATAAGGAAGGTATTCCACCAGATCAACAACGTTTAATTTTTGCTGGCAAACAATTAGAAGATGGTCGAACATTATCCGATTATAATATTCAAAAAGAATCAACACTTCATTTAGTACTTCGTCTTCGTGGTGGTATGCAAATCTTTGTTAAGACACTTACAGGCAAAACAATTACACTCGAAGTTGAACCAAGTGATACAATTGAAAATGTTAAAGCTAAAATTCAAGACAAGGAAGGTATTCCACCTGATCAACAACGTTTAATTTTTGCTGGTAAACAATTAGAAGATGGTCGTACATTATCAGATTACAATATTCAAAAAGAATCAACACTTCATCTTGTCCTTCGTCTTCGTGGTGGTATGCAAATCTTTGTCAAGACTCTTACTGGTAAAACAATTACTCTTGAAGTACGTATTCAAAAAAGAAAACCTAAGTACTTTAAAATTGAATAATTATTTTGTTTTGTTAATTCAAGGTTGAACCATCGGATACAATTGAAAATGTAAAAGCTAAAATTCAAGACAAGGAAGGTATTCCACCTGATCAACAACGTTTAATCTTTGCCGGTAAACAATTAGAAGATGGCCGAACATTATCTGATTACAATATTCAAAAAGAATCAACACTCCATTTGGTTCTTCGTCTTCGTGGTGGTATGCAAATCTTCGTCAAGACTCTTACTGGTAAAACAATCACACTCGAAGTTGAACCATCGGATACAATTGAAAATGTTAAAGCAAAAATTCAAGACAAGGAAGGTATTCCACCTGATCAACAACGTTTAATTTTTGCTGGTAAACAATTAGAAGATGGTCGTACATTATCCGACTACAATATTCAAAAGGAATCAACTCTTCATTTAGTTCTTCGTCTTCGTGGTGGTCAATAAAAACAAAATATTTATGCAATAGACAAAGCTCTCAAAAATAAAAAAAACAACAACATCGATTTAACATTTTTTTTTCATTTTCATTATTATCAGTTATGCTTACGTATTGTGAAATCAGTTTTTTTCTTTATATTTTAACAAAGCAAATAAACATCATGATTTGTGAGTGAAAATATAGTTACTATTCAATCATAAAATCAAAATTAACTAGATATTTCTTATAGTCATAGTGAAAAACAAGATGGTCGTAGTAATAAATGGATAAGTTTTCATCCTTTTCTCTATTGCAATTAGAAGAAATTGTCGAGTCAATTTATCATTTTTGTCATATTTACTTTTGTTCAACAATTATTCATAATTTTATATCTGAAGAAGTTGACGTCAATAATGAATCATGTTAAATTATTTCACAATCTTTCTATCAAGATAAAAATGTCAGAAAAATATGATTTTGTCAGAGCACACGCGTAAAGTAGTAATGAGGTGTCATGTATTGAACTGTATAAACAAAATGATTAAAATATTTTTGTTTCTAATCAAAGACACAACTACATTTAGAAAGAAAATTCATTGAAGCATAAGATTTAAATCATAGATTTGTCAATTAAAAAAATTTAAAGAGAGGTACTTTTATCAAGAGATTTCAAGAAGATATTCCGTATTTCTGACTTTTAACAAATAGCAAAAAAGTCATAGTTTTTTTTCATGTAAGATTCAATCCCAATGTAAAGAAAAATTAATTAAGCTATCTAGTCAAGTTGACCATCTTTGCATTAAAATAGTTTTATTCATGTTTGGATTGATGATGATGACTACTATAATTAATCCTGTTAGATATAATTAGAATTTTTCTTTAAACAATACACAGTAAGTATAACTTATTTTCTGTCAGAAACGATTTTTTTTTCATAGAATTACCAGCTTCTTGTATTCATAAAATAAGATTGATGAAAAATCACAACACAATGATGTTTTTCTCTAAAGGTGCTGCATTTTGGGACGAAGCTTTTCAAATGGATCTAGCAGCTGAGATAAAACTTTGTTTTTACCAAAGCACCGATCTTTAATCAAAGTGTATAATTCAATATTCAAAAAGTGATCGACTTTTATTCATGCATATCAATGAAGAATTTCCAAACAATACATTAATATTTGATTTTGTAGGTTAATCCAATTTTGGAAAAAAAAATTATTCGATGATTCTTTTTTGTTTTTCTTAGCAAATTTGTTATATGGTTGTATAGAAAGCAAAGAAGTAATTTTGAGAATATTCGAAGATAAAAAATATGAATCGAAGTGTTTTTTTTTGCGAGTAGAAATTTCAAGAATGTCTTGGAAATATATATTTAATAATTGAGAGCAAAATTAAGACTCTTATTTTCATAGTGATCATGGAATATGAATCTAATAATAAGCTTTGATATATTTTACTAAAGCTGATTTAAACTTTGAAAAAGACATCATCCGTTTAACATCGACAAAATAAAAATTACCAACATGCTCCGTAATGGATAGAAATATAGAACTTACTGATCTATATTTTGTTTTATATTAAAAAAAAATATGTAATAGAAAGAGTTTCTAATAGATAAAACTGTCTCACAAGGGTATATAGTTATGAGAGAACTAATCAAATTTATGTATCACTACATGTGTGATATTCTCTCTAGCATTGCTACGTGCTTGTTGATTAGTTGCTGTCTCTTTTGATTGATTCAACTACTATATTCGTCTGATTTACATATTTATTATATCGAATGGTACGTACGTATTAGTTCAAGCTAGTTTGTGTTTTAATGAACTATGAAATATTCAAGTTTAGTCTTCCTGACTGAAAATTTACACATGAGCTTGTTGTCTTTGAAAAATGAGTTTATTTTGACAAAAAATAAATGGAAAATCGCCTCCACTTCTCAATCACAGTACATTCAATCGAGCTGAAATTTTCATCTACTTGTACTAAAAAGTGTTTAGAGTACCTAGTTTTTATGATATACCACTAGGTTTTTTTCCAATGGAAGAAGATAAAAAGAAGCTACAGAAACAAAAACTAGGCATCTCAAATAGTATCCAAAAAGTGTTCAACTCTATCAGACGTATTGTAACTGAGAAAGCAAGATGATTAAGAGGCATTGTACATAAGACACACCCGTTACCTGGTCCACATGGATATGTGCTCTCTGACAACAAGCTTCACGAGAATCATTTTGACAATCGGATTCACTCGAATTTTGTGCGAGTTTTGTATCAAAGCGACGAAAACCTATAGAAACCTGGTTGAAGAAATGAGATTTGGATACCTAAGGTTGGAATCTAATCGCTTTGCACCACCGAAATCTGACCTACTCCACTGAAAGTTTGTGCAATTCCGCTACTATTGACAATACGTATTACTTCGTACAGATCCCAGTATATACGGTTCAACTGTGCATTGTCTTAGTAGCTCTGTAGTCCGATTGCCCATAGGATTTCATCGACTTATTGAGCCCGGTATTGAATCCAATCACCTGGCGCTCTCCTAAGATAGTCGTACTACAGCGATGTCTACTCCTTTTATAGTACCAAATAATTTTTAAAGAGCTGTTTATTAATAAGAGCTATAAAGGCAACTATAATAGTTATAAATTGGTTCAGGATTCAAAAATACATGACAAATTGATGAATAGTTTTGTGTATAACGTAAAATGAGTCCGATTGAATGTTATCCATAGAATGGAAGCATACATCAGGAGAGCAGCATCCTCAGGAGGAAAAGTTACTTAAGGGAAGTGTCACTCGTGGACAGCTGTTACTGGAGAAACGGTCGAGATAGTGTTTGTTCATGTAGACCTAGTATAGAATCAGTCTCTGTTCTGCTAGCACCTAATATGGAAACCGCTTATTGTTTGACTGTTTTGACTCACGGGTATACATTTTTAGACTTTCAAAAATTGCTGATTTTCTAGAGCTTTTCACATTCTGTCGGATGGGATATAAGATAAATCTGGTGCTAGTTGCTATTGTGAAAAATCAGACACATTAGTATAATTCATACGTGAAAAAAAGAGGCAAAAATCTTGTTTTCTATGTATGGTTATGCCACTCTTTGAGTTTTGACTCACGGGTTCACTTTCTAAGACTTTTAAAAATAGCTAATTTTATAGAGCGTTTCAAGTTCTATCCAATGGTATATAAGAGAAATTCGGTCATCGTTTCTATTTTGCAGAAGTCAAGTATATAAATGTATTTCATATATAAAATGACAAATATATTATTATTATGTAGACAATGGAGAATCTCTATTTCACCTGGCAACAATTAAAATATAAATGAATGAGTTTATAAGAAAAATGTAGTCTGAAGAAAAATGTAGTCTGAATAAAGATCTATCGAAAAATCCTTAAGTTAATATCAATTTTTAATTTTTTTTCTTGAAAAAGTTCATCATAATATTATACAATGTTTTTGGTCAAATAATGACTGAGGATATGGTCAACGCAACACCCAAATGATAATCGAAATCTTATAAAAACATATCAAATTTAGCATCACAATGATCAGGACACTTTTTTTTATCGATTCGTATATGATTCAATGGTACTTCCCAAGCAGACAAACTTTTGAGAAAACGCGTTTAAACGCACAGAAATTGGCCTAAAATCAGTGAAAAATGGACGTTTTTGGCTCACACTTGAACTTCGAGACTGTGAGCCAAAAAAGTCCATTTCTCACCCTTTTTTGTGCGTTTAAACGCATTTTCAGACAGAAAACGCGTTTACATGCATACCAAAAAAGAGAAAAACGTTGTTGTGTTTTTCCAGCTCAAGAAACGTGGTTGTAATTATGGTTGTGCATCTCGAGTATGGAAAAACGACCACTTTTTCTCTTTTCTTATATGGGTGTAAACGCGTTTAAACGCATAAAAAGGGTGGAAAATGGATGTTTTTGGTTCATAGTCGGGAACCTCAAGTGTGAGCCAAAAACGTCCACTTTTTGCTGATTTTAGACCAACTTCTCTATGTTTAAACGCGTTTTCCCAAAAGTTTGTCTACCTAGGTTGTGACCAAAATCAAAAGGGACCAAATTCCAGCCTTATATGCTTCCATCCTTTTGACTTCAAAGGTTGTATGAACAAACTTCTCAATAGGATTAGTTTATTGGGCATGTTATCACTTTTTCTATGACATATTCAAATATTCTCGATCGATCGCTAGCGCCATCTATTTATATTGTTTATTGAATAGTTATTTGCTTACATCATTACCATATTTTTTTCTTTGGTTCAAATAATTTTGATGTGGTATATTTAATGTACTCGATCCATTACTGTTCACTTAATTATTCAAATACAAAATCAAATCTAATGAAATAATAAAAGCAAATTTTTTTTAATTTTAATTTTTAATTTTATCCAAACATACAAAATGACTACAAATAAACGTACATTTTCCTATATGATGAATCCGGTAGATAAATTTCATTAACTTAATTTGAATAATATTTTGTTTTTTATTCTTCTAGACTGTAGGCAAATATCATTATGGTCCTGGACATCCAATGAAACCTTATCGTGTTGAATTAACAAATTGTCTTGTATTAGAATATAAAATGCATAAAAAAATGAATGTAAATTATATTTGAAATTTTTCTTATTATTTTGTAAAATTATTTCTCTTTTTTTGTTTTCTTCATAGATTTATTGTCCATCGGAAGCTAGTATTCATGATATGACACGTTTTCATTCAGAAGATTATGTTGATTTTCTTTCACGTGTTACACCAAATAGTCAAGAATTTCAACGTTTTTATTCAATTTATAATTTAGGCGATGATTGTCCTGTATTTACAGGTCTTTTTGATTTTTGTAAACTTTATACAGGTGCTTCATTATTATCAGCAACGAAACTTAATCATAAGGTTTTATATATTTATTCATTATGTTAATTGTTTTTTGTTTTTGTTTTTTAATAGCAAAGTGATGTTGCTATTAATTGGGCAGGTGGTCTTCATCATGCGAAAAAA